CAATCCAGTTTTTCTGGCATCTCCTAATAGAAATAGGAGTGTGTGTGTGTGTGTGTGTGTGTGTGTGTGTGTGTGTGTGTGTGTGTGTGTGTGTGTGTGTGTGTGACATGTTCAACAAACAAACAAAAAAAAAAAGAAACTTTGGCTGCAGAACACTTTGACCTTCCAGTCGTGTTTCACATCTGCTAGTCCGCATAATCACCTGTAGGCGGCTTGTCCACCTGCGGCTCTGCCCTCTCTGTTAAAATTTCTCATGGGGTAATTTTCCAGGAATTAGAACCAGACTTAGCAGATTGCATAAGAAAGATGGAGAGAGTTATAAATATGCCGGAAGCTAGCTTTCAACTGTGAAGACACTGACACGATGAAGTTTGTGGTGCTTGCTTTGCTCGTTGCCGGCGGTAAGTCAGATTTTGCCGCCAAGAACAACGGACAAAAATCATGTTTCTATTCCCCTCTGTTCATTTGATGAACATGTTTACCTAAAATGTGTACGTTTAAACATAGCTGATTAAATTACGAGCTTTTAACATGGTTCCTTTATTTCAGCCTACGGGTGCGGTAATCCCACCTTCCAGCCCATAGTGAGCAGAGTGGTTAACGGAGAGGACGTCAGGCCTCACAGCTGGCCATGGCAGGTAGGAAGAATACAAAGTGTTTGAAATCTACAAAGCAACTTTTAAAATAAAAGCAATTAAAAGTACTGAGATAGTGCAAGTAAATATTTGGAGGCTTAGGGGAAAAAATATGAAAGTACACAATTCCCCTTTTGTGTGACATTGTGAAAAAGTAAAAAAAAAAAAAAAACTGAAGTAAAAAGTCTGAATGGAAAAGTTTTCAAATATTTAAAAAGGTCAGCCAATGAAAAGGAAGTCTGGCCACACTTTGCATTTACTACTTTACAACCAGTAAAGTAGGAATTAGAGTTTGTTCAGTAAATGAAATTGAAACAATGATACTAATTAATCTTAAAGATAATCCTTGGTATTCTCACATATTCTTCCAGATTTCCCTGCAGTACAACAGTAACGGTGAGTGGAGACACACTTGCGGCGGCACTCTGATCTCTAACCAGTGGGTCCTGACTGCTGCTCACTGCATCAGGTAGGAGACTGTCGCCAAACAGTATTACAAAGGCCCAAGAGTTCCATATAAAAACATTTGTTTTAGCATCTTGCTTCCAAAAATGCTTAATGTGTGAGCTTCATATGTCAACTGCTTCTGATTTTTCCCTTTTCTTAGCTCAGGCCGGCAGTACAGAGTGGGTTTGGGAAAGCACAACCTGCTGGAGAATGAGAACGGCTCTCTGTTCCTGGGCACTGCCACCATCATTGTGCACGAGGAATGGAACTCTTTCTTCATCCGGTAGCTATCCCGGTCTAAACCATATTTGTGAAGAATGCAGCAGTTCGAGCTCTGATAAAGTTTGATGTCCCTCTGTCTTCCACAGTAATGACATTGCCCTGATCAAGCTGGAGGCCCCCCTTGAATTCTCTGACACCGTCCATCCTGCTTGTCTTCCCGCTGACGGCTTCATCCTCCCCCATAATGCACCCTGCTTTGTGACCGGGTGGGGCCGTCTATACAGTGAGTTGTCTGTTATGGGTCAGGCGGAAACACCCACGAAATATAAAGTTATATCCAGCTGTATGTGACGTGCCTATACTGCCCACCTGTGGTCATTCTATGTAAACTCTACCATGCAGGAGATGCATGTTGTGATTTATAAATGTGACTTGATTTCTTTATTTTGCACTTTTAGTGTTTTTAGATGTTTTGTAAAAAAAAATACATTTTCAAAACTAAATATTCGGTCTCCATTTTAATACATTTTGTATCTTAGGTTGGTGCTTATTGACTGGAATCTGCTAATGAAGCTTTGCTGGCTGATTGGAAAATGTGTAATTTTGATTGGATTAAGATGTATGTGTTATTTAGAAACTTAAAATATAACACATCAGTGGCTGTGGTAATAAGGTGGTTTTCCAAAAGCCTTTGGCTGACAGACATGTGTCTCTCACGTGCACAGCTGGTGGTCCCATCGCTGACATCCTGCAGCAGGCTCTGCTGCCCGTTGTGGACTACGCCACCTGCAGTCAGTCCGACTGGTGGGGCTCTCAGGTGACACAGACCATGGTCTGCGCTGGTGGAGACGGAGTCGTTTCTGGATGCAATGTGAGTCCTAAGCACAACAACTTTCGGTTGTTTTTTTTCCCTCCGTCTGTCAGGATCGAGTCTTCCTTTGTGTATCAATGGATGGCTCTGTACATATGTGGAAATATGAAGGTCTTTATTCTTATGTTTTGTTGGTGAAATGTCTGTCTGAAATAAATTATCATTATCAAAATGTACCATCTTTTGTTTATCTTGAATGTAAACGGGATGTTTACTTTCAAGGCATGGAGAGATCTCCTCAAAAGTGATTTATCCCTTCCTGTCAAAAAATTTAAACACATCTTGCAGATCTGTATGCTACATATTACATTTTATTCTGTAGGATTTTGATAGCTGATTTTTTTTTTGTTTGTTTGTTTGTTTGTTTGTTTGTGTGGCACTGTTAGGGAGACTCTGGCGGTCCTCTGAACTGTCAGGGCTCTGACGGATCCTGGGAGGTTCACGGTATTGTCAGCTTTGGCTCTGGGATCAGCTGCAACTACAACAAGAAGCCCACCGTCTTTACTCAAGTCAGCTCCTTCCTGGACTGGATCAACGCTGTAAGCTTCTGAAACTGCTAAATGGCTGGATGTGAAGTTCAAATTATTGATGCCATAGAAAACCTGACATATCCTCATGATTTCTTTCACAGAAAATAGTGGCCAACTGATGGAGCACCATTCTGGGACCAAGGCTATCTAAAAACAATAAAACCTTTTTACATACTGCATATGTTGTGTCATGCTGATTTTATTGCTCATAGCAAAACCGGACTTGATGTCCGCAGTTTGTGTGTGGGACAAGGGACACATCTAAAGTTACAGGACCCTGAACTGCTGCGTCCCATTTTTTTTTCATGGCAGGAATGCTGAGTGAAGAATCTAGCCGACATGCAGCTCTGAGCAACAGCACATTTAAACCATGACGTTTTAGTGCTTCGTAGACCAAAGATAAGATTTTAAAGTCTATCATTTGCACAAACAGGGAGACAGTTAGAGACATTTAAGGACTTCTGTGGTGTTGATTAGGATTCTGGGTGCAGCATTTAGCATTAGCTAGTCAGCAGAATTCTACCTTCCTCTAATGATCTCTACACCATAACAATTCTGAAATCTACTGAAGTAAATGCAGTTTTTTTTTTGTTTTGATAAAAAAAAAAAAAAAAACAAAAAAAAAAACTTTTTTTTCTGCGTGTTTTATAGTGTCTATCAAACATGAGCATAAGATTTCTGTTCACGATAGCCTCTTAACATCACTATTTGCAATACAGTGACAAAAAATATCACTGTAACATAATTGTTACAGCTCGTTTGTCTTGGTCTTTCAGGGTGATTTGCAGCTCTTTTTCTACTGTGTACATTCTGGAGATCTCAGGCATGTTGAGTCAGTTTTTCCTTAACATGGTGAAGAAAACCTAGTTGAAAGAAGCAGCATAGTCATTGAGATAAGAATGGAGGCATCTTTCCATCTCTGCTGTCCTTGAATGAGAACCAGGCAGTTGACACGAGTTGTGGTTTGAGAAAGATGTGGATGTTAAGATGATGTTTTAATTTTTAAAAGTGTTTTTACTGCATGTTTAAAATGTAAATAATAATAATAATAATAATAATAATAATAATAATAATAATAATAATAATAATAATAATAATAAATGCATCATTTATTTAAATTAAAATTTTACTGAACAGTAAAAATTTTTTACTGCTGACGCGTTCAGAAATCGCTAACTTGCTTACATCTGTCCGCGTGCAGGCTCTTTTTTTTTGACACCCACCTATTGAGACTCCATCAAATTGCAAAGTGCACAAATGGAAAAACGGAGAACACGTTTCCTAGGTTACATAAGATCGTAATGGGCAAAAAATAAGTCTGACATTTCAACTCCAAACTGTGGAGATACAGTCAGAATGAGGTCTGTGGTGCTTGCTCGGCAGTAAGCAGCACACAATATATTCAACCTTTATCTCCTCGCATACTAAATGCTGTGTGTTTTGCGTGTGCAGTTTAAATGTTTTCTTTCTGTCTTGGCTTTAACCCCTTCAGTGAGCCGAATGGTTAATGGAGTGGATGTCAGACCCCACAGCTGGTTCTGACAGGTGAAATGAAAGCGCAAAATGTCACTCAGCAAAGCAGAATGTACCTAAATGACTTGAAATAATGCTAAAGGAATATTTGCGACTGAGCGTGTCAGAGAACAGAGGCAAGTTTATAGTGCCAACAAAGCAGAAAGGCAAATGTTAAATCATACATTTTTAACTAAAAACAGAAAACTTAAAGAAAATAATTAAGATGTATACTTTGTATAGAAAAAAAAACAACCTCATGCGCACATTCATTTAACTAAAAACAGCAGCAGTTAAAAGTGAACTGAATTATGGAAAAACATAAAATTCCATGCAGGATACACCATTATTATTATTATTATTATTATTATTATTATTATTATTATTATTATTATTTAATTTCAAGTAAGTACGGAAGTTCCAAACCATGAAACTTCCGTTCTTGTTTCAGGTTTCTTCGCAGTGCAAGGTTGACGGTGTGTGGGAACATTCCTGTGGGGCTGGGGGCTCCTTTGGTCTCTGCACAGTGGATCCTGACTGCTGCGCACCGCATCATGTAAGAAAAAAAAAAATACAACTTAGAGAGGGCCATGTCCACAAACTAACTGTGCCACTACTAATAATGCTTAGATAAAAGGGATTTAATTGGATTTCTGTTGCTTCTGATGGACCAACTTGTAGCGAACACATGGAGTGGAGAGTGGCTCTGGGAAAGCATAGCCTGAACCAGATAGAGTCTGGCTCTGCGTTCATGGGGAGGGCTAGCATTGTTATGCATGAGGAATGGGACCCTTTAACTCTTCGGTAAGTAAGTAAGCATGCAGACATACTGAAATCACTTGGTAAACGGTGCTAAAAACCAGCGTGTGTCATCTGCAGTAATGGCATTGCCTTCTGCTGGCTTCACCCTCACCTCTAATGAAACCTCCTATATCACCAGATGGCTGCTCACTTGCGAGTACAACAAGAAGTCCACAGTCTTTACTCAAATTAGCTCTTGCATGGACTGGATCAACTCTGCTAGCTGGTGAGATGGCAAGTAAATTGGCGAAAAAGGTTCAACATGTGACATATGTCTGAACAATGTCACCTTTCACCATGGGCGTAGGTTTGGGTAGGGACGGTAGGGACATGTCCCGACCAATATTCACGGGATATGAAAAAGTCCCG